AACCCTTAAACCCTTATTTTCAATTTTAAGCATGATCTTAGAAAGAATGTAGGTGACAAACTGGAACCAAGCCATTACTTGCTGCAATGTGTACCACAGACTGAAAATACCACCCAGCTCAGAGCCTCTGGCTATTTAGCAAGAGGAAAGGTTTTCAAATGTATTTTGTTCCACATCTGGCAAAACACTATGCCAAGGTTCTCCCCAGATCCTCACCCACATGTAAGGTGAGAGTAAACACGGGAAGCCATCAACTCTCCAAGAAAAGTGCGAATAGTTCTCAAAAGACATGGAAATAGTAGCAACATCAGGAAATGGTTTATGTAATTGTCCCATATGTCCTGTTTATTTCAGTTGCTAACTACATTGCTAAACTACATTCTAGATATGGGTATGCCTTGTATAATACTAAACATTTTTGTATTTTAGTCAATCTATAATGTTTTAAGAGAACCTATATTAAAATTTGTGAGAAGAGATGAATACTCATTAATTTATTATATATTGAAAATATTTGAGTGCCTTCCTATTACCTTTGTAGTCCAGGGCAACTTTTAGTACCCTATAATATCTGAAAACTTATAAAAAACACATTGGGCCGGGGATTTAGCTCAGTGTTTCGGTGGCCTGCCTTGCAAGCGCAAGGACCCGAGTTTAATCCCCAGTATGAAAAAAAAAAAACAAAAAAAAACACATGTACTTAAGTTTTTGTAGTACTAAAATGTCTCCAATTTCCCCTGTCTGATGTCTTACTTCTAAATCAATACTATTACTTTAATAATTTTAACTCCTTTCTCATAAACTATTTTCAACACATGTCTAAGACACAATCTTACCTATTCTTCCATCCATCCCTTCATTGAACACATATTTGTTTATCATTCAAACATAATCAATAAACATTTACTGAATACTTCACCTTTTATATGTACCGGCCACTGGAGAGTAGAGCTAAGTCAAACCTGCTCCTAACTCTTTTAGGAATTAAAAGTCATGGAAAGGGAAACAGACCTGTAATTACTTCATTGCAACAAAACAATACAGTAAATAGGTGACAATAAAGTATTTTAGTAATAGAGCAGGGAAAAGAGAAGAAAGCTTCACTGGAAAGGCTATATTTGAACTTAGTCTTGAGATATAATAGGAGTTTGTTAGGAGGAGACAGAGCACAAGCATCCAGGCCCAGAGGACACTGGACGAGCAGAGGTTCAGAGACATGAGGAAGCACACCTATCATCAAGAACAGCAAGAAGATCAATGTGAACACAGGTACAAGCAAGGTAAGGGTTACGAGGCAGATTGAACCATACCTGCTTCCTTTTCTAAGCTAACCATGGAAGGCTTCAACAGATAAGCCTCCTAGGAATCAACACAAGTTTGGTTCTGTTGAGTGACCACAGATCTGATTGACGAACAAAGCACCCATAGTATCTACCAGTGAGGAGGTTGGAGTAAATTAGAAATAAAGTAGGAATAGATTGGTGTAGCCAGGTTGTTGGGAAGCTGTGGAATCAATGTAGATATGAAATAAAGAGCAAAGATGAGGATGAAATAGAAGAAATGGATTCAAAATACATCCCTGAGACAAACCCTACAAAATTTGGCAGGCCATTCTGTATTTGTTTATGTGTATGGAAATATAAGACAAGAGTTGTCAATGTGTCAAATTATTTCTTTGAATGTGTCCTAGAAAGGAAGAGCAATGTGGATGATACTCTCTGAAAAAGAACCCAGGAAGGAAAGCAGGCAGAGAGAGTGGAGGAAAAGGATATGATATTCCATTTTCCTTTTAGACATTTTCTGCCTGAAGTTACTGCAGAATAAAATTTCCCAGAATGATCCAAAAAACACTCCAAATTATAAGAAGTGCACAGAGAAGGCTGTTGGATGGAGACACAGAGTATGAAGCCATAAATATATGGTGACATTTAAAGTCAGAGAAGTAGATAAGGCCTTGCAGAGAGGGAAAAGGATGACAGTAAAAATTTGGAGAACAAATTTTAAGAGATGAGCAAGAAATAAAGATAATAGGGAACAGCAAGGCAAGTGATGGGGTTTGAAACCCCAAGGAAGGAAAGGCTTTAAAATTGTGAATCTTTTCCACAGTGTTGAGCATCTCATCTCATTACAAGCTGTGGTGTTTATATTTTAATACTGATGTTAGCAGTGAGAGAACCATTGCCAATGTGTGCAGCTGTCGGGGTTCATATACCACCAAGCAGCAAAGACAAAGTGTGTACCAGCTACTATCTATACCCAGAGCAAGCATTTTTTTCCCCCTCTAAAATCTACTGCCCCTTAACATCAACTTCATCTGATGACTTGCAGGCTTCTTTCTCAGTTTATGCTAAACTAGATGTGGATAATTTTTCTCCTTAGAATTACTGGTTCCTGTCATTACTCATCCACCCCCAGTGTACTACAGGTATGGACTTTCAACAGTTTAATCTGTTTTTAGTTCTCTCCCACCAGCCTGAGAATTCTTGCTACTTTGCATCTGCTTGTTCTCATTTCTTTAGCTGATTTATGCTCTCCTGTCTTACAATTCATGGTGCAGACCACCTTCAAGAAACAACATATATCTGTGGTCCCCACTTATTAGCTCTCACAACTAGGAATATTGCATTATTTTGTACTCCACTGGCATAATTCATATATGTGGAAGAAAAATTCTGTTTCCTTGCTTAACAGAAAAATTGCAAACACATCAGTACTTTCTTCTCAATTATCCTATAAGCTCTTCAAGGGAAGACATTGTCTTCCAGAGTTGCTTTTTAACCCTACAAATAAAATGAGGCTGAGAATAGGGGCAAGGATGTGACATTAATGAGTATGGATGAGGCTTGGCCACAAAGCTAAAATAAGCACCAACTGTAAATGAGGCAGCTGCCTGTTCAATCATGTAATTGGAAGTGACATCTGGGGTATAAGTTGCCAAAAGTGGTGGCACCTATCATAGGACACTGCAGATTTTCCAGGAACCAGTTCATTGGCTAGTTTTTAAATTCTATTTTCTCAGAATATATTTTAAGTAATAATTTGAATAAATTGTATTTCACAAGATTGATCAACATCTGTGCTTATATTGCTATAAAATGCATAAATCAAAAGTATTTCCAAGAAGTAGGTTTAAAAAAAAAAACTTCCACCTTAAACTGTGTGTTCTAAAAAGTGTGTTCCAGCATTACAGAGGGGCATTGAACTCCTCCACAGCATGGTGAATGTCCAAGACACAGTTCCAGGGCTAATAGTATCTAAGGGCAACACAACATAAACCCTGGCTGGTTTCTGAATCTACATTTCAAGGACAGAACGAAACCAGTGAAACTAAAAAGAAAACCCATATAAACATCCCAGACCAGACATCATACAATAGGCGGTGGGGGGGGGCACAAGGAATCACAGAATTATTCTTCCATGATTTTCATATTACTTGAATCACACACAAATATTCTCATATTTCCTTTTGTGGGTTTGAACTCCCAAGTTCTTCTTTTAAATAAAAGGTAAGTGAAGCCCCATCCACGAGGAGTAAGTATACAGTGGCTGATTTGGAAACCTTCCATCATTGACACTGTTTAAAGGCTTGCAGAAGAAGAAGCCAAAATTTTTCACTTTAAAATGCACAAAAAGGGGGGAAAAAAGGAGACTTAAAGATATAATATCCTGCACAGAATTTGGAGAAGAAATAATAATTTCTTGGTAAATTGTAGTTAACCAAAATGAGAAGACTTAAAACTATTTATGTAGGTCCTAGTAATATTTACTGAGACCTTGTAATACACTTGTTAATGAGCTAAACTTTCCACAGGTTATCTCACTTTGTGTCCACAAAAACCCTCTGAGGTGAGCACATGCCCCAGACATGAGGAAGCCAAAGTAGAGAGAAAGTGGTAAATGCCCAGTGTCACCAAGCCTGCCGTGTCTGTCAGTGCTAGGATTTAAACCCAGGAAGTATTATTTCCTGATCCAAGTCTAAATCTCTGAGTTTTCTTGATTACTGCCCACTACCTTTGGGGTAAAAATATTTTTGAGCAAAAATTAAAATAATATAAAGTTTGTAATGGGTAATTAAAATTTAAAACATCATGGATCTTGAAAGTTATCTAAATGGAGAATACCCAGCACAAATTATTGTAGATGCAGAATAAAAGAAAAACAATGCACTAAAATTAACTGCACCCTTCAATGCACCCAAAGGAGAAATATAATTTCTGGTGTTGCTTAAATAGGCTTTGCCATCCCCAACCACTTTTCATTATCAGGCTTTGCTAATGTGTTCCTAATTCATAGAAATGATACTCAGATTTTTTTAAAGTTTTCTAAATATGCAGAATATGCCAATAGAAAGAAGTTTGTTTCTCAAACTTGTTATGTTGAGTAAGGCTAAGTTGAATATTACTTTTACTTAATCTTTTGACCAGCCTTATTTTCATACTTAAAAATTGACAAATAATTTGGAGCACTCTAACATAAATCAACAGGAATCCATCCTTTCAAATATCATGGCATCATTTACATATTTGTGGGAAATAAAGGCCCTTGAATATATATTATATATAATACATATTATAAAGTACATAGAATATAATAAACGCATATATATTCAGAAAGTTTCTTCAAATTCTTAGTCTCTAAATTTTTCATATCCACCATTGATAAGAAGGTTCTATCAAGCATTAGTATGGAACTCTTCTACTAGGTCATTTAAAAGTATTTTCAGTACAGCAGCCTTCCCCATAAGTGCAGAATTTAAAACGCTTAGTAGGATCACTGTATCTGAAGATATTTAATTCTACACCAAAATTCAAAGAGCTCTTAGAAAAAAGAGAAACATTAATAAAAGAATGTGCAGAAGAAGATATCTTGAAGATTTTTTTTTTATTTCACACAGGACAAATGGTAAGGGATTAAAGAATAGCATGAAGTTATTTCATCAGGGTAGCTGAAATTATCAGTAAACATTTCTGTTGTATATTCCACTTGAAAAATGTCCTTACCATATACTCCATATTAGAAGCTGTTGGATACACCTGACTTCGTAACTTATTATGAAGATCCAAGATACTCTGCATGTCATTGTCTGTGATGGCCCTTTTTCCTCTCTGCTTGGCTGTCCACCACTCACCGTCCTCATCCATGTATTTTTCCAAAAGTTTTTCCAATAGAGTGGCATTAGGAACCACCATGGCTGGAATTGCTCTCGCCATGAATAGCACTGTGGTTACTCTGAGCCACTCCTGCGCGGTACACTTCATAATGAATGATCTCAGGATTTCCCTAGGAAAATGTCCAAGACAGGCTCTTCCACTCCTTTTAGCTAAAATGACATGTCACATGATTAAGGTGAAAATACTTGCAGATATTAGTTTTCTAGTAACAAAAGCAACACAAAAGTTAAAGGAGTGTGCCAGTGTGATCTGCCTATGTAATGCCAGCAAGTGGTCAACCACTTTTCAAAATAACTTAATCCGACCTGTTGCTTTCTTCCAGAACACTTTATATCATGCAATGTCTCCTCAAAATAGAGAACTATATTTTCAATGATGCCCTTGAGGCAAAAAATTCATAGCAAAAGTAGCCTAGGAAATTCGAAGTTTGAAAATAATTTCTGAATTACAAGAATTGAAATGGCTATACATTACACATAGCCTGCAAAGCCTACTTCCTACTTAGGATGTTTACTTGTCATATGATCTACAAGTTCACATTTCTCTACAGAGTTTTAAGATTTTTTTTTTTATGCCACTGTTTTATTCTGATGTCCCTTTTCTGGGTAACAGACATTCACAATGTCCATAAACATTCCAAACTTGAAGGTGAATGTTTTTAAAGAAGTAGAAAATTGCTATTCATACATGTATCCATGAGTACATAGAGAGGGTCCGGGGACGGATCACTGGGAGACTTCTTTTTTCCAGGCAAAAGTCAGTAACTCATTGTTTCTGGAAAGTTTCTGCCTACCCTGTGGCTCTCACGGGAGACAGCCAGCAGCCCCGCGGCAACTTACTTGTGCTCCCAGACACAGCAGGCCACTTAGTCCCGAAAGAGGGCGCAAGTTCGAGGGAGGAACTGAGCCGCTCACAAGAACAAGCTCCAGCTCATCTCCCTAGCCTCCGCTTTCCCAGTATCCCCCCTACCCTTCGTGCCCACCATTTTCTAAAGTTAGTTGTTCTTTATTTTCCCTTTAAGTAACGTTCAAAAGGAAAAGGGGGGCTAAGAAAAGGTGGCAGCCTGACCCCCCGCCCCAGCGACGCATTTTAGAAAAACTCTTACCTCTGCAGTGTAGTCCCCTAGGACAGCAGAGCGCAGCGGGACGCCCGCCTCTGCAGCCGCCTCCAGCCTTCACCAGCGACTGCAAACCCGCAGCCCTGTTAAAAGGGCCCGGAGCGGCGGGTCTCTGCGGGGAAAGCGGGTGATGAGGAGGACGCGAGCCTCTGCCTCCTCCGCTCCTTTCCAACCTGCAAGCGGCAGGCAACGCGCACCAAAGTTAGATCGGGGAGTTGAGGCAGAAAGGGAGCATCCTCCTTAGCTTGCTAGGTGGTCGATCGGACGACTCTGAGCTTTCTCTGTAGGGTGAGGGGCGGGGACAAGAGCTGAGATCGGCGGCGACCTAGCGCTCCAGCAGGGTGCAGACTCCGCGCGCAGAGCCCGGCGCCAAGCGCTTCCGCCGCTTCCTAACGCTCGCAGACATTTATTGCGGTCCCCGCCAGCGCACGTCACCGGGCGCCCCTCCTCGCCCACCCCACCTCCACCTCCACCCTGCGCTGGCCGGAGGCCTGGGGAACGTCAGAGCAGCTCCCCGGCGCCGAGAAGCCTGGGCGCTGGGCTTTTGTGGGGGTTCTTTGGGATGCAGAGAAATGGGCAGGGGACCCTGCGGGAGGTGTGTGTAAGGAAGGCCTGAACTGCTTCCTTTCCGCTACCTGCTTTGAAAAGTCCTCCTCCCAGTTCCTCTCTGATGAGACGCTAAAATGCCTCTAACAACCCGGACAAGAAGGAGCTGCGGGTGATGCAGGGATGTGCCCTGCATCTTCAGTCTTGGAGACTCAGGGCTGTCTAGAAGGTATCTAGAATGGAGATGTTCTCTGGCTCCATGAATCCTTGAAGAGGGCCAGCTGAGGAAGGAGTTTCATAGATCTCTGGAGAGGCCTGACAGTTGAGAGTTGCTTTACACTCAAAATAGAACACACGGTCTTCCCAGGGTGATCACAGCACATTTTCCTTCTATCGATACATACATTTATGGAGTAATATATGAAGTCTACCTCAATTTATCAATGATAAGCTGACAGAAATTCAAACCTCCCCTCTAGACTACTCAGTGGAAGGACAACATGATGTCCGGGGTGGACATGCATTCTGGAATTTACTAATTGTACTAAATATTACTAATGTTAGACCCACAAAGGTAAACCCTACAAAGGGTTTACCAAGGTAAAACCAAACCTGTAGTGCTGCTTCTAGAGGAACATTTAATCTATGGGATTTTTTACTTTGACAGCAGTTGTTTCGCTGATTTACCTTTGCTTCCCATCTATAGTGAGTCACAACCTTCATTCTCTTTAGGTTGAAATGTTGTAGTCTAACATAAGATCAAACAAAGTAAAACATTTTGGTAGTAACTATCACCAAATCTCTATCTGCCTCCTCCTATCTGACTACACTAAAAAACAAAGAGAATGAGACCTGGAAACCTCAGCTCTAAGTTTCAAGTGAACATCAGACGGTGCTTCTCACAAACAAGGAAAGGGAGACACCACTTACCCAAAGGAGGCAGAAGGTATAATGTTCTCGAGAACAGAAAATGTTCATAGGTGAAATTTCATGAGTTTATAGCAGCATAAGCACAAAAGAACTGTTAAATCTGTCCTTTTCAAGTATTTATGCTTAATTCTCAGGTACAGGGTTCAGAAAACTGACTTTCCTAGTAACTTGTAAAACCCACAAAGATAGTGGTAAAGAACAGTTGTTTGTAAAGGCAGTTGAAGAACTGTTTCCGTATTGCAATGCTTACGTGATATTTAAAAGTTTACTACCGAATAAAAAAATGTTCAAAGTAATGACATTACTTGAAACATTTTTAAAGAAAACATATTGGGAAGAAGGGAAATTAACTTAAATGCACTGATTACTTGAATGTTTTAGTTAGAAACCTTTCTATGCAATGTACGAATCTAACATACAAACACATTAAAGAAAATAAAATTTGGTTTTAATTCTAAGACTTTCTCCAGGCAAGAAAAAATGTATCTCTATTAACTCAGTGTTTTGATTGGCTTCAATCTGGGTAATGCAGGTCATATTTTAATATAAAGAAATGATTTAAAAATTCAGCATGTTAAACATTAACATTTCAATAATACATTGTGTCATTCCTGATTCAGTTACATATACCATTTTGAAAAATAAAAGTAAACATGATATTCTTGAATACTCAAAGGGAATACTGTTCAAATTTTTATTTATTGTTGAGAAATCTGTCTGTAGATGGAAGAAAATGAAGACTCACACAGAATTCATGTAAAAGCAGCACTTTGGTTTGTGGCTATGGCTGTTACTTGTAAAGCCTTGGTTGCTTTAGTAATACTATTTTCTTGTGGCAGACACTGTTGGTTGCCTATCCAACAACAAACCTTCCACCCCTTTCTTCCTTCCAATTACTGAAAGGTGCTCATCTTCGCTCATGCTGTCAAGATGACCTTCTCAGGAGGTCCATGTTGATTAACAAAAGCCTGATGTCACAATCTGCCTGATACCCATGACTGCTGTAGCATGCACATGGCATGAATTCTGGCTGATGAAAAAAGACATCTACTTGGGAATTAGAAAGGAACACATCTATCTGGGAGTGACAAAGAAGTTGGTTAAGGTTTTATTTTGTGATAAAATGAGATGCAAAAAAAGAAAGGAGTAAAGTGTAAGTTTGTGAAAATTAGAAATATATTTGTTATGCAAAGAAAAGAGACAAGCCTGAAGACAAAGACCTATCACCCTGGTTAGTCTCCCTGCCGTTCACTAATCATTGGTACATTTTCTCTCCAGTGTGTGTGTGTGTGTGTGTGTGTGTGTGTGTGTGTGTGTGTGTGTGTGCTGTAAGAGCTAATGAATATATTAAGTCACATTGACTTCATTATTCAATCATTTGCAGCCCAAACCATTCTAAAATACATTTCTGCAAAGATAATTTCCTCCTCTGTCAATGTCCTATTTGTTCCATGATGCTATTATTTTCTCCTTATGTGCATAGTTAGGAGTTACTGGTCACATATGTTTTTTCTATCCATGCACTATTCTAGGTATTTCATTCATTGTATATTTTCATAACCCCATGATTCTTCTGTCACTCTATTGTTGGTAAGTATATTAGTCAGCCTTTCCTTTGCTGGTCACAATTCCCAACATCTACAATTTAAAGGAGAGATTTAATTTGGGTCACAGTTTCAGTAGATTCAGTTCATGGTAAGCTGGCTCCAAGGGAGAAACATCCTGGTAGAAGTTTGGTGGAACAGAGATGCTTAGTAGATTGTGGCTGAGAAGCAGAACAGGGGATCAGTACCAAAGAGGAAGGTGAGAAGAACCAGACATGGATTCTAAGGCCATGCTTCCATGACACACCTAGACACATACAAAGGTGTGCTCTACCCTGCTGGATCCCAAACCCAGTCAAGATGATGATCTTAACCACCACAGTAAGTTTAATCACCACAGTAAGTCCATCTCTATTGGAGATGTGTGTAATGGTTAAGCTTGTCAGCCTGAGTGGATTAAGAGACTCCTGGGAAGATGACTGATCATAGGGGCACTATATCCATTAGTGAGCTAATTTACTGATATTTATAAGTGAATGTCCTTTTAAGAGGTAGGGCCCAGTTGGATGTGGGTCACTGAGGGTATGCATTTGAAAGATTTGTCTTCAATGGAACTCTTTCCCTGTGCCCTATTGTGCACACCGTAAAGTAAGCGGCTTTTCTCCACCAAGTCTCCACCATGTTGTTTCTGGCTCGAGCCAACTTACCACGGACTGAATCCTCTCAAACCATGAGCCAAATTAAATTTCTTCTTTAAGTTGTGGGTATAGGGTATTTTGTATCAGCAATGGGAAAACTGACTAATATATTTACTAATATATAGATGTGTAAGAATAGAATTCCTGTGGTTGGTGTTTTGGAAGATGGGCATCAGTGTGGCACAATGTTTTATGATGCAGAATTTATGTTAAGCTACAGTCATGAAGAATCACTAGTCCTTGGACCTTGAATTTGCTCTTTGGCTTCTGTGAGCCCTAGATCCTTCCTTTAAAGGGAAATAATGCTAGTCCTCTCACAATGTCACTTTGTGTATTAGGATGAGTTAATACTTAAAGCAGTAACATAAGGAGAAAGTATTAAAAAATACTTAGATATTATTACCATACTAACTAGAGTATTCATATTTGCTATTTCATAAAGTTAATGAGGTTCAATAATGATACTGTACAATATAATAATAAGCTTTTAAATAGAAACACTTGGCTATCCACATGATGAAAACAATCCATGATATTTTGGCAGTTTCTTCTTCTCACAGTTAAAATAGTACTTAATTCTGTTTACCATAGGACGCAATTTTTATTCTTATGCAAAGCAGCCATTTGAAGACATATAATCTCTTCCTGGTCTTTTGGCTAAGATAAAGTGAAGACATAGGGAAATATTTGCATATATATTTAAATTATGTAGTATTTCAGAATGTTCTATTTTCAGTACTGTTTAATATATCTATATTACATGACAAAATTTCAATGAATAACACAGTCTTTCTATTCTAATTATAAGTATGTATTGAAATGCAACATACATGCATTAAAGTTCAAAAATCATGTCCTTACCTAGCATGCAAAAGCCCTGAGTTTGATCTTCAGCACCAAAAGAAGAAGAAGAAAGAAAAATAGGGCCAGGGATTTAGTCAAGTGGAGCCATACCTGCCTCTAAACCACAAGGTCCTGAATTTGATGCCAGATACTGGAAAAAAAGAAAGAAAAAGAAAGAAAGAAAATCTAAGCATCAGAAACAAAATTTTCCAAGTTAACATAACTGTGTGAAAACTACTCAGCTATCGTAGAGAACATAATCATTCCTCTAAAATCCTCCTTTGTGCCTGCAACCTCCCCATAGATAACTAATATTTGGATTTCTTTTCTAAAACCTGCTTTTGATTCCATTGTCTGATTTCTGTGTGTAGATTCTTTCACTCAATATGTCTGTGAGATCCATTCATCTTGTTGTATATAGCAGTAATTTATTTTTCTTTGAAACCATACCACAATTTATGTATGCATTATGTTGTCAGTTTAGGATGATTAAAAATAATGCTGCTAAGAACACTGTTATACATGTCTTTTTGTGCACACATTTATATTCTCTATTTGTAATAGCTAGAAATAGAACTGCTGGTTCTAAGGTATGCTTGTTAGGAGTTGAGTGGATAAACTGGGATATATATACAATTTTCTTGCTGATTTGTAGGAATTGTTTGTATACAGTATTTATCTTATTCCTCTCCCTTCTTTGCATTTCTGTTCTCATAATTATGTTTTTAATGAACATATTGTCTTGATTTTAATTAACTGCTGTTTCTCAACCTTTTCCTTTATACTTAGTGCCATGTGGGACCTGTCAGAGAAAATATTTGCCCAACACAAAATCACAAAGAGAAGTCTGCTATTTTGTGTTCTAGCTTTATTGTTTTTCATTTTGCAGTCAGATATTTAATCCACCCAGAATGAATTTTTGTAGTACAGAGAAGAAATAATTTAAGATTATAATAATTATATAAAAACCTGCATTTTCTGTAGTCATCACTGTAAAATTTCTCATGAATTTGCTGTGTGTAAAGGTCAAATTTTAGAATTAAGAGACAGAAACGTCATTGCTGTTGGAATCTACAATACTTTAATTGAATTATTTA